ATGATTTACAATGCCACTACTTATGAATTTAGTTTTGTATTCATGAATAAGTTCATATTTTGAAGGGACAAATTTATCAAGGTTTCCTCTAATGATCTTTTCACACTGATGAGGAATTGATCATTCACAATCTTAATGGTTTTTGAAATGGGAAAGAGCCCAGTTTTTAGTAATACTTTGGCATTTTTGAGCAAGTTGAATTGCAGAGTCCTTCTCGCTGTTGGGATCAAGATTTATAAGAGATACATTATGAAATTGTAAGCTCATTAGTGAAAGGGATTTTTCATTGTTGGATAACTTAGTTTTTAAAGATTCAATTTGATTTCTTAGTTTAAAAATTTATTGATTAGATTTTAAAGATTAAGACGCAGATACTCAAACATTGTGGATTTTTCATTTTCGGAATAAGTTACAAAATAATTAACCTGATACAATGTGGAAGTATCCCAATTCTGAAATTTAGAGTCACTAGTAGCTTTAGCGAGATCGGATTCAAAAGTACTCAAGCTTCCACTTGCTTCATCAATAACAAAATTGTTGGAAATAGACATCAAACACACATCCTTTTTACTTCTTCATCAACGACTCCTCTTTATCAACCTATTATTTACCTTTAGCAACAAGAACTTTGGACTCCAAATTTTGCTTCTTCAAAGAATCCACCAATTTCTTGTACTTAGTCTCATAAGACTGTTCCTTTGGCCTATACCATTTGATTTTCCAATCACAAGCAAAATGATTAGCTCCTCCACAATTGAAACATTTACCTTCATCATTCTTAAGATTTCCAAAATCACTCCTTTTAGACACCGATAGTGTATCTGACCTTTAGACACCGACGAGCCATAATTTGTATGAAACCTTCACAATCATTGTAATGCTTGAATAAAGTTCATCATGATATTCTTCTTTCAAATAAGCTTAGTCTGATTTGTCACTATCACTTTTAGCGACAAAGCTTGAATTTCTTGAGAAAAGAGCTAAATATTTTTCCTTAAAGTTGTCTCTCATAATCTCTTTTCTCGGAACCTTGGTTTCTTCAAAAAAAAAATAGATTGCCATACAAGTTGTGAAGATCTATGGAGTGAATTTTCTCATTATTTTTTTAGAACATCCACATTATGTTCCTACTTATCATCAAGAGAATCTAAAAACTTCAAAACTAAAACATATTAATGTTTGTAAATATCAAACATTCTCATGTCATTAATCAAACAATTAAAACAATTAAAAGCTTAAGTAAGAGATTCATTCCTTTGAGCAAAGAAGTGTTCATATTATCGGTTGAGAGAGTTTTCCCTGGTTGCCTCAACTTCTTTGGTTCTTTTGTATGCTACAGTCAGCATGTCAATCATATCCTTGGTTGAAACATAGAACAAGATGGTAGATGTCATACGGAAGAGAGTTACCAATAGCAACACGAGCACCAACATCAAGATTGAACAATTGCTTCTCTTCTTCAGTGAATTGATGTTTTGCAGTCTTCTTGCGTAAAAACCAATCTCACGTCGTGACACTCCCTGTGTCATATCGTGAACCACGTCTGATGCTAAATCCTAATGTCTTAAGTCCTTAATCCATTAAGTCATCCATTCCAACTTTCCAGAGGGCTTTCATACATTAAAAGCAAACATAAAAATCTTTGCTTTATGGACATGCATGTCCAATGCATGTCTTGAACTTGATTAGGTCAAAATGGTGAAAATGAGATCCAAATCTCATTCATGGGACTAAACTCAATCAAACCATAGATCTAGCACACCAAACCTCAAAGGGACCTCATGGATCCATAAAGTTGCCAACTTTATGGAATCCAACCACTCAAACCACATCCAACATGAAGAAAAAGGCATAAAAGTCTAGATCTTAGGAGATTAACACATAAAGGTTGGAACTTGATGACTTACCATGGTCCGAGGTATGATCTTTAAGGTGGTGAGGGAACTTGCTTGCTAGATCTAAGCACCAAGAACTTCTTCAATTTTTTGTAGTTTATACCGGGTTATTTATATAAAATGTGCTCAAGAATTCCAAGAGTTAAAAAAAAAAAAGTGAACCGACTTTTTACTATCATAATTGTCTCCCAAGATTGGCATACTCAGATGATTTGTTAAGCTGTTGTATATATTAATTATTTTTCATTATTTAAACACTATACCTTTGGCCTGGCATAGAAAAAGTCGAGAAATAAAAAGGTAGTTTATGGTTATTTCTATTGTCAAAATATATTAATTACAAATGATATAATCATGTCTAAATGAGTAATTGTGTATAGTAGGAAACTCTGTCCTATTTGAATTAGAATAATGTTGTGCCTTTGCATGAATTTTCACCATATCTGTTAATAATATTTGGTTTTCTGATGGCATACAACCAAAAAATAAACATTAAAACCTTATTTGGATTTTTACATATGTAATCGTTTGAGAACTTTAAGCAATCATGAACTTTGCTAAAAAAAAATTGTTTTAGACTTGTTATATATTGTAAACTGAACTCTTTCTGGAATGAAGGAATTGAATCGGTTCAAAACGTGTTTTATTTAAGGTCGCCATATTGTTAAAGCAGTGGCTGGATCAACTTGTGGATTTATGCAAGTTTGAAGCATTGAATAAGGTCCATCCAAATTGGAATCGAGTTTATAATAACATATTACATGAATAAAATCAAGCTGGTTCATAGTACAATATGCACATATACATTAATCAATTTGATCAGCTTTGAAGTGTTTCCTTCCACCTGAACAGTATCCAACATCTTTTGACTTTTCCAATCAACTAAATATCTGCACTTTGTCCATATTTTTATTAAGCATACATTATACATGTAGAAGCACGTGACGTGGACATCATCATCATTGTATGTTGCATATGGATTCACGAGGGTAAGGCACTAAGGCTTGTTGTGCAGAGCATTTAAATGACTATGGTTGAATCTTAGAAAATTTAATTGGTTTCATGTTGTAGAAACACAATTAAGATGAATGAAATCACTTTGAATATGATACTTTTTCTTGTTTTGCATGGACTAATGGGTATGTGTTTACTTTCTTACTGGATGTAACCTGCCTCAGATCTGAGTATCGAAACCACACCACCCCCTGGAACAATATTCAACCATGAAATGACAAAACCATACCAACAAGATTGAACATAAACATCAGATCGATCAGCAGATTAGGTAGACTTAGCATTGGATCAGAGAAGCATTTAATGATTATAAGTGTATTGTGATTGAATTTGTTATAGGTGGAGATAGGATGGCATTACATCTCAAATCATTCTTCCATATATTAAACTAATGCGGGTTCCTTCACATATCTTGTTATATTAAAGCTGATGATATCAATTAGTATATGTTTTGTTTTTATAATAATAAAGTGTATTTGGTGTTGTAAGAACAACCGAGTGCAAAATCAGGGTGCATGTTTCCATTTAGTTGACTGCACTTGAAACCACATCTTCTCAAGGGTCTACAGAGGTTGACCAATGTGGGTCAAAATTTTCCGGTGTTGGAAGCTTTTCCTAGAGAGGTTGTATCATTTGGTTCTGATTACTCTGAGGGCATCGGTTCTCAACTTCATGGCAATTACCAAGTTTTTCATCTTTGTGTCTTTAAATCCCTTTTTTTTAAATACCCAAATTTCTTTTCCTTATAAAAAAAAAACGTGAATTATGCTTTTTGTCCTTCACTACAACTATTTTGTCAATTTTGGTCCCAAAAGTGAAGTCATATTTTACTTCGGACAAAGACCAAAAAAGCTACATAAACCTCAAATGATAACTAAAATTGCGTAGACCTTTTTTTGTTGGTTGAAATTGGTACCATTGAATATATAGGTTCAGGTGGAAAGTACAAGATATTAATAAAATGAGATGCATATTTAGAAAACCCTCATCTCAAAAAATGTAATCTGGCCTTTTAAATGTGTTCTTGTAAAACTTGAAACATATTTGAAATAATGGCAACAAAAAAATGAAGGTACCAATATTTTAAATGCAAATGCTACTATATTTTCATGGATCTGGAATGAACTTCTTTCTGTTTTTGAGTCGTAACAGGTTTCATTTTCCTTTTTTGCAGATGCTGCTAAGTTTTTCATTAAAAGAGCCCTTTATCCTAGGCACTTAGACAGTTAGACTAGACAGCTACATATGGTTGTTTCTCTTTCACTTAATACGAATCAAAGAGCCTATTGAGGCAATGTACTTTGAAAATTCTAACCATTTATAGCGTTACACTTTATACTCGGTAGAAAGATGAAAAAGTACATTATATCATTTTATATCCGATTTATCGTTTGCACATCATTTTTAAAATTCCAAAAGTACCCTTCGAGAGTCTAGTTCTCTCCCAAGGTGCAGGACCAGTTTTCAGAAAAGATAATCCTCTCTCCTTCCAACTACCCTCTTATAATAATCTGTTGCAACAAACTAAATATAATAAAAAACCCAAAATTCCCCTCCCACTAATAAGATGCTCTTTATTATGATGATTTCCCATAATACTCCTACCTAAATCATTTGACTAATATCCAAGAGCAATAATACTATAAAGGCTTCTCAGGTAAGTAAGAAAAAACACCAATATATATCATACTGGACAAAGGTGTTTTTTTTTTTTTGCTTGATGCACTTAATGGGGACATTGCTTTTTACCTGTTCACCCAGTTTCTTTTTCACCCCTCTTCCTCTCGATCCCAACCAACCATTGTTCTTAGGGAGACATTTTTTAGTGGGTATCACTTCTACACATAAGGGTAAAATCATTAAGATGGTTCATTTTATTTCAAAAAAGAAACATTCTTTGTTTATAGAGCACACATACATCATTTATCCATACAACACTCAATGGGAAAATAAGCAAACAATTGTGAAATGATTCTTACTGATAAAAATATGACTCGCTTAGAAAAATGTTGAGATAATCGATAGATACATGGTGAACAAAACACTAACTATTTATAGGATTACCAAAACAGATTAACTATAAAAGCTGAATTATCGCCAATAATCTCGACAAGAACATACTCCATTTTTTGCATGATGAAGCCTCTTTGCATCACGTGCAATGATCTCTCTTCCAACCACCTTCAAAATAATCTTGAGTGCTTTATGGCAATCAACACAAACACGAAGATTTTTATATATTAATACTCGTGCACGGGCTGGACTAGTCAAAAGAGCTTCCACTAGATAAAGTCTTTCACTATGTATTAAAAGAGATTCTTCTTTAGCTTCAATGTTCACATCATGAACTACTGATTCAGTCTCGGCCACATACCCGGCACCTATCATGTGTTGTTTTAAACATTGAAGATGACGATAGAACTTCTCATGATTAGGGTGAGATGTATCACCGGCCTTATACTTACGAACTTTGGTTTTAACACCTACAAGATTAAACTCTGATGATTTCTTTTTTTTCTTTCTGTTTAGTATCAAGCCTTTCCTTGATTGTTCATCTAAACGACAAGACTGTAGAAGGTTAACCATCTCAACACAATGGTCTCCGAGTTCCATATTACCATAAACCCGAGATTGATTCATGATATTTTTACCAAATTTCGACACTTGGCATCTTTTCAATGAATTCTAATGCTTCATTTAAGTACCCTGCACTCCCAAGCATATCAACCACATTGTAAGTCTTGATCATGGACTCCAAGTGCAATAGTCATTCTCCCATGTCTCCTACCACACTACATGCAGTGAAGACACCAAGAAACATTTGATTATTAGGCTTTAATCCCACCTTTTTGAACCTCCTGAATATTTCAATTGCGTCTTCTCCGTGACCGTTTTTAGCAAGCCATGTTATCATAGTGTCCCAAGAAGTGACATTTCTTTGAGGCATTTTAGCAAACACCATATATGCCTCTTCCATGGAACCATATTTGTATACATTTCCAAGATTTGGTTGTAAATATAAACATCACGATGAGATCTTAATACCGACCGTTTAAGGTATTCATGAACTTCTTTGGCTTCTTTGAGTGCCTGAAAATCTCCGCATTCTTTCATCAACAATAACAACCTAGGCATGTCAACACATATGTTTTTCTGCTCGACTAAATCCAAAACTTCCACCGCTTCCTTTAAAGGATGGAAAGTTAAAAGAAGCGGTGGAGGTTTTGGATTTAGTCGAGCAGAAAAACATATGTGTTGACATGCCTAGGTTGTTATTATTGATGAAAGAATGCAGAGATTCTCAGGCACTCAAAGAAGCCAAAGAAGTTCATGAATACCTTAAACGGTCGGTATTAAGATCTCATCGTGATATTTATATTTACAACCAAATCTTGGAAATATATTCCAAATGTGATTCAATGGAAGAGACATATATATATATATATATATATATATATATATATATATATATATATATATATGGTGTTTTGCTAAAATGCTTCTAAGAAATCTCACTTCTTGGGACACCATGATAACATGGCTTGCTAAAAACGGCCACAGCGAAGATGCAATTGAAATATTCAGGAGGTTCAAAAAGGTGGGATTAAAGCCTGATAATCAAATGTTTCTTGGTGTCCTCACTGCTTGTAGTGTGGTAAGAGACATAAGAAAAGGGCTATTGCACTTGGAGTCCATGATCAAGACTTACAATCTTGCTCCATCCATGGATAATTTGCATTGCAACAATAAAATCTCCTCCAGCTTTTTAGGAAACCAAAGCTCTCGTCGGTGGCCGCAGGATTGGAAATGGTACATTTTTTAATAGAAAGGGCTTTGAAAGAACTACCTAAGCAATAACTGCATGAAGTACCTGCATACCTTATAGATATAATTGAGATATTTCATCGTCTTCGCCCTTGCTTGAGACATGCTTTAACCGTCGAAGTTATTGGCGACGCATGAAATCGGCGTCTGGACTCAGCAATGGTGGAGGGAGGGTTAAAAGCTGTTTGGTGGCGTCTGGATGATTCATATATGAATGGTGCAGAGGCCTGGATGATATAGATGGTCTGTATGAATTTGTAACTGAATGATAAATTAATGTTTGGTTAGGCATCTGAATATGTACCTCTTAATGCTGAAAATGACCATTTTAACCCTTTAAACTATTTTTTTTTGCATACAAATTTAACATCATACAACATTCAATTAGACATCATACAACATCCAAATTTGACATATATGGATCCTTAGATCACAGTATAACAAATTTTATAACAATATCTCACAATAAATTCGTTCAATTATCAACCGGTTCATAAAATCGATGATATAACTCAATTGTGTTGAAAAATTAAGGTCAAAGTTGTCCAGACAAGATATAAACGAAAAACATATCAGAAACATGTACCTTTATAGACTTTTACAAGAAATTGGGGAGATGATGGGAATGGGAAATGGCGAAAAGAAAAGGAGATTTGGATTTTCTAACGGAAACCCCGTGGTCAAGAAAAAATTTGACCTCGTAATCATTGCTTCCCAATTTTCTGGGTTCATCTTCCTATTCCACGTTGATTTTACACATTACATCCACCCCGTTTTGTTTATGGTTTTGGATCAATGGGCTTCTTGCGATCCTACATCTAAAACATTGTTGGAGATAAATCAAGCACCAATTTCGAGCAGCAAGAACATAAATCAAGCAACAATTTCATATAATCAAGCAGAACATGTTTTAGGTCCTAAAAAAACGACCATAAAGATTGGCCTGAAAAAAATCGACCAAAAAGGAAAAGATCAGAAACTTACCGGCGAAGGGGGAGGAATCGAGGGTGGAGGTGATGAAGGCGAAGGTGGAGCGGCGCGGCTAGCAGGGGAGAAGTGGTCGACGCCTGAGAAAAAGGGAGAATGATGGAGGAGGGTTCGATGTGTAGTGGGGAAGAAAGAAAACACAGAGGCAGGCGTGTGTTATGTTAGGGCAAGGGTATCAGAAGTATTTTTTTCATTCAGACTCCTTCTCACCTCTTAGACCATTTTTTCCTGCATGACCCGTTAAGAGGGTAAAAAAACTTCAACCAAACACTATGAATCTGAACGATTCAGAGCTAGTCTCTTAATGGGATCATTAAGAGGAGAAACAAACAGCCCATTAATCTATGAAATGCCCTAATTGGCGAAATTGATCTCCAAAGGTATTTTCTTATTTTCAAGACTTTTTTTTGTGAAAAGTCTCTCTCAAACAATTATTTTATTTTGGCCTTATGGAAAACAGTTTTTAAAGAGCCTTGCTAAAAAAATTAAAAGATATTCTTTTTATTAAAAAAATAGTTATGATTTTTCTAAAAATTGGATAAATTTTGTATTTGCGATACATTTTAATTTTTATAGGATAAAAAACGATAATAAGTAAGAAACCCACTAATTTCCAAATAAGGTATTACGATATTAACAAAACAGAGTTTTTTTAATTTTTTATTTTTTTTCTAAGACTTTATTTTGTCGATAATCCTTAAGTAGAACGATCTCATAAGTTATAACTCGGTAGCCTTTCATCGATCGAAAATTTTAAAACGACCATTGACAATAAACAAATAATAATCAATGGTTTTAATCAAATAATAAAATAAGACTTTAAAAAATATAAAATATGACATCACTAAAAAAATTAATCAATGGTATTTAATCAAATAATAAAATAAGACTTTAAAAAATATAAAATATGAATAACTACAAAATTCTATATCATTCTTGAACATCAAATATCATAATATATTTTTAACTTTATTGGGAAAAAAAGTAACAAACTACTAATTTCCAAGTGATGTATCACCGAATTAACAAAACAGATCTCAATCCAAACCCGTAATAAATCAAAACCGAAAAAACAGTTATCAATGGATCGGTTTCGGTTTGGATATTTAGGTATCTGTGGATACCGAAACCGAACCGTCATTTGAGACCAATGATATTTGTGAGACATGAGGACCAAATCTTAGCCTTTGATCAAAATTGATCTTGTGGCTCATAAAAAATGTGATTAACACTAATTAATCTAATTAAGTAGTTAATTGTGGGCCAATTAGTAATTAGGTTAAATTTTAGATCATCAGATATGATCATAATGTTAGCGTCATCTTCATGTCATCACAAAACCAGCTGCTTCGATTCTTTCTACCAAGATCTTCGCTCGGATCAACATTCCTTAAATCTTTAATTCATGCTAATCGATCTTTTATCACCTTAAATCTTCAATTCTTTCAACCGATAATCGATTTGAGATGGACATTCATTGATCGAACAATTCTAAATCATATCCTTTAAAGTCGCGATTTTTGTGTTTTTCAAGTTCATGTTCTTCGTTCTTCTACATCTGCAAGTGATAATCTTAGTGATTGAGGTTTATGTTCATCTATCGACATCAGCAACTCATTACAAGATTGGCATCGGTTTTAGATCTGTGATCATCGATTTCATCCTAGGTTGAATTTCAAGTGTCCAGTGATTTCTGCTAATTTTCATCTTCAACGATTGCTTACGATCTTTCAAGTTGTGATTTTTACTCTACATCATGGTTTCATCAATTGATCAAAGGTTTGAGTTTTCTTCCTTGAGTTTTCATTGTTTTCATTGTTACTTGTATATAATATGTTCAATTGTTAACCTAGTGACATGAACTAATTGAATCATCAAGCTATTAATGATTTATCCAATTCATATATGTATGATTCGTGATTTCATCAATCAAAAATCATATTGATTGATTGAATTTGTTTAACCTATAACACAATTTAACCTATAACACAATTTAACCTATAATATGTTATCTGGCAATACATTATCCATTTCATTGTTTGATTTTAATCTTTCATTCAATCAATATGTTTTTCAACAATTTGTCATCTGATTGCTTTTCATTAAAATCATATTGTTGATAAGTTCACGTTGTTGCGTATTATTCTTATAGAATATTGAATATACATATTAATATCAATAATGATAACAATTATGGATGATTTAGATATGCATGTCATCGGAAAAAATTATCACAATGAAGAAAATCATCAATTCGGCTCTCATGATTCACAGATTCTTCATAATGAGGAAAATCAATCAGAAACCCAATGTAATTTTGTAACTAACATTTTAATTTTATTATATTTGTTCTTTTACAGATAGTATATGTTACTACATATTATTCTTATAGAATATTGAACATAAATTTATTAATATCAATAATATAATAGGTATGGATGATTTGGATATGAATTACATCAAAAGAAAATCATCAATTCAGTTATGATTCATAGATTCTCCATAATGAGGAAAATCAGTCGGAAACTTCAGGTAATTTTTTTACTTATATCATTTATTCTTATAGAATATTGAACATATATTTATTGATATCAATTGTTAACATGATGTTGTTGATAAGTTGATGTTACTCATATTGTTCTTATAGAATATTGAACTTACATGTATTAATATCAACTATAATAATAGGCATATGTTAACATTGTGGTGTTTTATGATTAAAGTTGTAACGCCCGGTTCTCGGTATGTATTTTTATATTAAGTTTTTGCATTTTTACACAGGGACTCGACGAGTTGGAGGCCCAACTCGTCGAGTAGATGCGAATGTTGGACGCGGGTGGAAAAGTCTACTCGCCGAGTTGGAAGCCCCGAATCGACGAGTAGACCTGTCTGGATGAAACCCTAAATTTGAGGGTTTGCAACCTATTTAAACAACTTATAGGGTCTCCACTCCAGCCTCCATCATCCTCACACTCCCTTCACGAAACCCTAATCGAATATTGAGTGTTCTTGAGCCTTTTTGTGCCATTTGTGTGTCTTTGAAGCTTGAGAAGAAGAAGGATGCTTGGGAGATCAAGAGAAAGCAAGTAGATCCAGAGGTTTTGGCACATTTCCAGCTCAGTTGAGGTATAAAGTTGATACCTTGACTATTCATTTATTATATCTCCATTTAGGGCTATTTTCTACCCTTTCTAAGTCTTAGTGAAGCCATATTCGAGATTGTGAGTATCAATGGGGTTGTATATCAGATCTTGAACCTTTAAGGGTTCCCATGGCATAAAGGTGCCAACTTTATGGCCATGGGAGTCCCATGCACCATGTAGACTTCATTTTGGGTCCTTATGAGCTAGTTAACCCATGCATATCGATCCTAGGAGGTCAGATCTATGTTCTGGATGCATTAAGCCTGTTAGATGCCATTTTATGCATCTTATAGGTTTGTTTTCATTAGCATTTAGGATCATATTTTGTACATTTGCATGTCATTTATTTAAATAATGTTCAGCTCATGTCTTTCGATAGAATTCTCATATTGCTCATGTTTTTATGTCAATTTTAGATAGTTCGAGTGAAGCAGTGCTTTGGGAGCAGTTGGATACGCGTTTGGAGCTTAAAATGGAGCTTGGAACTTATGGAGTATGTTGCGGAATGATTGGAAGATGCTTTGGTCAAGAAACATCCGATCGAATTGATCACACGAAGAGAGAATTTGCAATCTAAAGTTAAAGGATGTTGCTGGCAGCTTTGACCCCCTGTCAGTATTTTGACCATATCTCTAGAACCGTAACTCCGATTGAGGCGATTCAAAATGATCTGAAAAGTAGACGAAATTTCGGACGTCTTAGGCATAACATGCGATCGCAGGTTGCCTTTATGCGATCGCATGGGGCCTTTATGCGATCGCAGGTTAGGTCGCAGCTTGGATTCGAGGTTTTTTAGTGCCAAAAATTCATCCGGAAGTGAAAAATGAAAACCTGCGATCGCAGGTTGTGTACATGCGATCGCAGGTTGGCCAAAAAGTGCCAAAATAGCATCCTACTTCATTAAAAAGGCCCGTGACGCGTTTTCTTCAAAACCTGCGATCGCAGGTTGTCTATATGCGATCGCATGCACGTCGTTTTTGCTGTTGGACGTATAAATAGACCCTGATAGCATTCCAATAACCTAAGTTGGCAATTCCAGAGGTACCAGACGATGAAAATACGATTTTGGAGGCGTTTCTTCTCCGATTTCAACGATTTCTGAAGATCTGAAGACTGTGGATCATCTCCTTCAAGTAGATTAGTAAGATTAATTGTTTGATGTCTCTTTTCATTTGTTTTTATCAGATTTTAGCCATGTCTGGCAAAAACCATAGTTTTCAGTTCTGCAAAGACAATTACATTTCATGTGATTGATCATTAGATCTGGTTTTTGTTTTGTGTTTCTATCTAGATTCTTCAGTTTTGTTCTTAATGAATGTTTGATTTTGATTCTTGTTAGTCTGATCACCTAGCTAGGGTTTTATCATTCAAGTTAATCAGTTAATAGAATCCGTAATTGTTCTTGTCAACTGTCACAACTACGAATTCTAATGCTTTTGTAAACATTAACAATGATAACATTTGTGACTAAAACTTGAAAGTATGCATGATGTTTATTCAATAACACCAAAGTTCCATCAATCACCCTATGCAAACACTTCAAATAGTCAACAAAAGATTGGAAACCCTAAAAATCCAGGTTTAAGTCCATTATGGACTAGGATTTCCTTATTGGGCCTAATGGACCAGTAAGTTTCCAATTTGACTACTTTAGGCTTAGAACCCTTAATTGGGCTCTAATTCAACCCACCTTCATGAGATTAGACATTTTGGGCCATATTGGGCCTAAAATGGAATAAACTACTCCAATAAGCCTTGTTGGGCCATAACTAATCTAATTAGCCCTGATGGGCCACAAACCTAATCTTTTATGCTAATTGGGCCGTGAACCACCCTAAGGGCCCAATGTGCCGAAAACTTCTTTATGGACCTCAAAATTTCGAACCAAGATAAGAAGTGGGCCAAAATTAATCTATTTCCTTCCTCCTAGCCCAAGATTTTTGGCCCAAGATAAAAAAAAGGAAAAACTAATATGGAAGTATTATGGGGAGGGTTGACTTTGGGAGGTGTCACCTCCATATTACACACCATGTATCCATGCATGGACCAACATGCATCCATATTAGTCACTTCACTTCTCTCTCTCTCTCCTCTCTTCTTCTTTTTGGCCGAGGCTACCCACACACACACACCACCATTTCAATTTACTTCAAACTTTTCTCAAGAACATCTTCATACTCCCTCCAAATTTTCGAGAATCATAAGGGCTTCAAGAAGAATTTCATCCAAAAATCACTTCATGTTATATACTAGTGGTAAGATCTTGCAAACATGTTTTCCTTCTACACTTAATCACTCTTCTTACAACCTTAAATTCTTGATCATACTCCATAGAACCCTTCAAATTTGAGGTCTCTCCAAGGAGCTTGTTAGGGCCAAAAACAACACCATCTTCTTCCATTTCTTCTTCAAAACCGTGAGCAACTAAGCAAGGTGAGTTCATACCCCCCTTGTTTTCGGTTTTAACTTGTTTTTGGGGGATAATACAAGTACTATGTGTTGATCTATGTGTGTATGCTTGTTATATGTGATTTCTTTGGTTTATGTTGTGAAAATATGATATTATTTGCTAAATCACGAAATCTATGGCTAAAGTGTGAAGGTTACATAAACAAATAACATAATAAACCACACTCTTCAAAGATCTAAGAGTCTTTAGGTTAAAGAAGTGAAAACAAAGTCAAAATCCTTATAAGTGTCATTTTTGCAAAAATAATAAAAGTTTGGGTAAAATATGATATTTTTGGTTTTGTAAGGAAAAAGTGGTATTATTTCCATAGAAATCTGACTTTTATGAAAATAACACTTGTCTAGGGGTCAAAAACATAAAATTTAGCTTAATGGGCTATAAATTTGGGCCTCACGAGTTTTGGGCCCAAAGTTGCGAAAAATGAAGTATTTGAGGAGCTGAAATGGAAAAGTTAACAAACTATGAGTTTAAAACGTGAATAAAACTATTTTAAGGGTTGAAAATGACTTTGATGCAAAAATTGGACTAAAAATGCAAAGTTTTTGATTTTGGGATCAAAATTGTAAAACTTACGGAAATTGAGCCAAAAATGTAAACTTTTTACAACTAATGGCTGTAAATGGCAAATACAATAGTTTTGGGCTGAAATTATTATTTAAATAATGTTTGGGTCTAAAATGTCTAGAAAAACGGTTTAAGGACCAAAAATATCAATTTTCATAAAAGGGGACTAAAAGTGCCATTTTTATAGATAAAGGGGTTGAAATGGTCAAACTAAATGTTTTTGGGCCAATTAGACGAATATTAAATTATTGGGCTAAAAATATTAAGGTATAACACATGGTTTTAAATATATATATATATATATATATATATATATATATATATATATATATATATAATTAAGGTATAACACATGGTTTTAAATATATATATATATATATATATATATATATATATATATATATATATATATATATATATATATATACGT